TTGGCGACCACCACCACCACCACCATCATCACCAGTGACCTCGCAATACAAACTTCAACGTTTACAATTTAACTACAACAACGAAGACCTTAAAAAGATTTTTACCAATCGCCACACTCCCTTAATGTCCTCTTCCATGCAGTTGTGCTCGGTTCCATTCCTCTTAACATTCGTCCCCACGCCTTCCGTACTTGGTCGAGGGCCTCTCAAAAATCGCCTCCACGCACACCGTGAGATGATAAACTTTGCCGGCAGTGCCATCTCTTGATGATTTTATAAATTCTCCTGGAAAAGTTGGGGAATTTTACATGTTGTGCCAGTTTTTTACACACTTTCCACTGAAGTATTTCCACTGCTTAGCTGATTAACAGGCACAGCACAATGAGGCGGTACGAGTCACATCCGCTTTATAAGTCACTTCAGACGGCAAAAAAAGAAATGTCACTCGGCCTTGGGGTAAAAAAAAAACGGCGGCTGAACACATGAACATAAACAATGACGATCAGACACGGCGCTTCGATGCCACATAAATGCATTTTAATAACTCCATGAAAGTTAAAGTGCAGTAGATTTGTGGACTTGAGGGGTCGGGATGACAACAAAATGGCACAATTGGAAGGGTAAATTGATTTTACGATGAGGGATGTGTTGAAAGGACACGGTTTGGATCCCCAAAGGATGGACAGGCTTTGTTTGAGTTAATTTGGGAAAAAGTAAACCTCCTTTAGGTATTGCAGTTCAAAAAGCGGCCACCGTAGAGCCCCTTTCAAGGTGGAAACACACGCCAGCCTTGAAGTGGCGCTAACATAATCGCTTATTTATGCTTTCCTCACTTTGGAAACGCCTTTGGCAATAAATTTAAGCAAAAATAAGACTTCACGCCAATCTGTTTACGTGTATACGCTTTGGATCAGGTAAATTGTCGTCATGCATGATTGACGTGTAAACAAGTGTGTGGAATGTGGACGGTCTTCTTATTCTCCACGCTCCAGTTTCATTACACACAGTACAATCATGACTGGCGATTTGGAGTGACATCAGTTGTCTCCCCTGGCGCTTCCCTCACCCCACGCTCTTCTAATGGATGCTGACAGGGGAAAGTGGGTCTGGCAGAGGTGTTGAAAAGCTAATGAACTGGCACCACGACAAGGCAGTGGAGGTAGTGCAAGGGGTGGATCGTCATAGTTGGTAGTCTGGGGGTAGCACATCGTGTTTATATCAACCACACAAGTCGTAAATCACTTGTGTTCACAAAAACCCTGGTTCTGCAATAGCAGTGTGTGGTGTACCAGCAGTGTACTTGTTACACGCAATGACCTACTGACCCAGTGAACCATTGGACTGCCGAATCTGATTGCCAGCAGCCAGCATAAATTGTCCAGTTGTAACAGGTGGACAATGCACAGAGGTGTTTAATTTTGTAGTCTTAACAATCAGCATCGCAGTAGCAAGAAGATGTGGGTGTTAGAGGTGCTGACAGATGCAGGTGGTCATGAGCGAGAGTGGGGAAAATCGTCGCGTCCAAGTCAGAGGGTGGAGGTGGAGCCAATGATTTTGCAGGCTACTTTGCGTTTGTGTGGGGAAGGCGGATCCTGAAGTACTCACTAGGTAATTAAGGAAGCCTGGAAAGTCTTCAGTACAGGACCGTATGTGACACTTACGTTGCAGCCTCTCTAAAGTCTGACCAAATTCCATCTCCAATTCTCTAGATCCGTTCGCCTTAGTCTACATCTTCAAATGGATGTGAGTACAAGGAGAGCTGCAGATGCACTCGAAAAAAATTGCAGCAAAAAGTAGTGCAAATTAATAGAGAATTTCGCAAAACTGTACGTCAAGTTGGTGGATAACAATAAAGGGATAAAAACTTTCGACAAATCAGATTTAGCCTCCACCAAATCACATTTGGCTCGCTTCACACCTCTTGATAAATTAGTAACTTCGTCATCAGATAGTCACATTTGGAGCATCAATGATGAATGCAGTCCAGTCAACAAAACCATCCACTTCCTCTACTACTACTACTACTACTACCACCATTACCATCACCATCATCATCACCATCATCACCACCACCAGCAGTGCTGTTACCAACACTACTGATTAGTCATAGCTGTTGATTCGACAACACCTCCTTTCCTTTCCTTTCCATTCATTTGTCTCTCCCCACCTCCTCTCCCATTGGTGGACACGACGTGAGGCCGCACTTCAACGCATCAGCTATGACACCCACTGACTGAGTTGGTCTCTCTCTCTCTCTCTCTCTCACTCCCTACCTCTTTCTCTCCTTCTCTCTCTCTCCCTCCTTCCCTCTCCATCCAATTATTCATCTGTCCATCCCCTCCATTCCCTCCTCCCACCTCGTGACAACAGTGCGTCACTACATCCACTCACTGCACTCAACGTGTGTTCGTGAGTGTGTATGTGTTACAGTGAGGTGAGGTGCAGTGCAGTGTGGTGTGGTGCGGTGCTGTGCTGTGCTGTGCTGTGCGGCGAGATGAGATGTAGTGACAGGATGTGGGATAAGGTGAGCCAATTTGACGCCACATCACGATGTCCAGATGAGGCAACTGGCAATACGGCGACCTTGGCTGAAATACGCGCATCGGTGATTGGTGGAGGTGTGTCGCGATGTGATTGGTTTGTGGGGAGTGGAAGGTGTGGCGCAATGATGTGTAGTGTTTTGTTGTTGTTGTTGTTGTTGTTGTTGTTGATGTTGTTGTGTGCTTTTGCTGTCCTCTTGTGATGTGATGTGATGTGATGCATTGGAATGGGATGTGTGGTGTGGTGTGGTGTGTTGGAGGTGAATCGGAGATTGACCCCGTTGGCACATGAGATGAGGTGGATGGTGTGGGTTGTCGTTGGGAGGTCTGGTGGGAAAGGAGTGTGTCTTGAGGTCACAGGTGTGGATGAGTTGAGTAGAGATGGATGGGTGTGAGAGCGAGTGGAATGGACCTGTTGGGTACCAAGTATTTTGCGACATTTGGAGTGTAATGTGATGTGGAGTGCCGTCATTGGTTTGCCTGAGCAACCGATGTGATTTCTAACCCGAATTTATGTGATTGACCTCAGTGGGTGGCGGGACAGGCCTTCTAAACGGGAGAATTTGTTAGGTCAAAATAATAATCTAGCATAATGACAGAACGCAACCTTTTTTAGCCCTAACGTGCTCCATCTTCTTCCCTACTTTATCAGAGTAATCCACAATTTTGAATGGATAGATAAGATGGTCTGACAAATCTTGACATCAAAACGCCAATGTTTCTTACAAACATGATTTTTTTTGTTTTCGAACTTCACCATTGTTGCTATACCCTACTTCAGCCAGCCGATGCCCAACTTGAAACCGGAACTTGACGTCACTATGTCTTCTTGTTAGTGCAGAAAACAGGCCTCCACGCTAACCGCGAATACACGAGTTGCGGGAGCGCACACGTTGCCTTACTCACCTCTCGCCTTCATTGGTTAGTCATGGCGGCTACTTAGACACAAGTATGACTCATGTGACCCGTGACAGGGCAGAAGGTGGGCGCGGTGAGCCCTGCGTTATCCGATTCCTGTGTCGTTTTTATCACTATCCGCTTTTCTGGACGCATTACTATTCCTAGTTCCTTGTGGGAAAAGGAAACACGGAAGGAAGAAGACCCAACTTGCTTTGGAAGGAATCACTCTAGGGGAACTCGTTGGTGTCCCTTGAAGATAATGAAATTTGGCTACGTTAGGATTGGACTTAACACCTGCATTGACATTCCCTTTTCATTGTCTTCAGCCTACTTGAATGGGTTGGATTTTTAGAGGTGATGCATCGTTGTCATGGTTATCACCATAGCAAAACTTGTGAGGCTAATCGCTTCATGTTGTAGTTTTCGCAATTTTATAGTTGCTGGAGCAGTCCCTTGGTGAAGGGGATAAAAACAGGAATGAAGGACAGAAAAAAATTTACCGAGAACGCAGGGAGAGATGCGGTTAAGTTAATTAAAAAATGAGCAGTCCTAAATTCGCGATCCCAATGCGTCAGTCGGCCCACCAACGAAGTCTCCAGAGTTGCTTCATTTCACGGCCCGATGAGTCATTTTAGACCAATCAGATTCGCTGATTGTCTAGCTAACTAATCGCGTGGCTGACAAAAGGTCCACTCCCTTCAATCGTACGTGCCTAGAGCTACGCCCGTCAATGCTAATCCACCTCCCACCTTTGCCATGCTTTGAATGATTCCTCCACGGCCTTCACGACTAGATAAAAACAATTTTGCTTTTTGGCACACTCAACACCGAATAACCCACACAGGAACAGCAAACAGAGATGAACAGCCCACCCGCCCACACATGTGCACCACCAGCGCCCACCAACGCTAAAAGCTTTTTTGCCGTAAGCACGCACCCTAATTATGCATGGAACATACCCTCCACCACCAAAGGCTAGTGCCTCACACCAGACCAACACCACACCAGCACATCCCGCACTCACATCCGCACACCGCGACCGCGAGAACTACTGCGTTACCCCACCAACTGAATTTTCTAAGTTATCGAGATGTCTTAACCACGACCGTATCGACATCCCGTCCACCTGTCAGGAGGGCGACAAAGTGGGCGAGAGAAGCCAAACCCAACCGAATGGGACGTTAATAAGTTGAAACCAAAAAGGAGATATCTCGCGCCTCCCGCGCACCAAGCTGCGCAGTTGAAAACACCCACTTGTTGTGGTTACTGCAAATGTCCGCTCACACCCTATGTTTGAACCTGCAGCACATCCGAAGTCATCTTGTTTATTGTCCTGATCACGAAAGAGAAAAGTGACCCAGAGGCGAACGAAGAGATCAAAAAAACCTATAATGGATTTATCTTTGGGATAAAACGAAGCAAGTATTAGTAGCAGTGTTTTACAAGATGAAGCGAAACAATGAGAACCAACGCAAACAATGTTACTCGCATTGTTGGAGTTTTTTGCTCAATCAGAACCGCACGAGCAGAAAAGACGGCTCCGAGTCTTAGGAGTCGGTCTCACATTCGGAGTTCCAGAGCTAAAATTTTTTACTTTAGGGCGACAAAATATGGACATACCGTGAGATTATCACGCAGAAGCTGCATGATAAGAGTGCTATCCTTGTACGTTTCGTCTTTGATCGAATCGACCTCTGCAATGGCAGCATCAAAAGCCGCTTTAGCTAGTGAGCAGGCCTTTTCGGGCATGTTTTTGATCTCGTAGTAGAAAACGGAGAAGTTCAACGCCAAACCAAGGCGAATGGGATGAGTAACTGACAGTTCTGCCTCAGCAAGTGACGTAGCCTTCTGGTATGCCTCCTCGGCAGCCTCTGTGGACTTGTCATTCTGCTCACCTTCTTGAACTTCCGCTAAGTAACGATAGTAATCACCCATCATCTTGTAGTAGAAAATCTTTGCTTCAGCACCGATTTTTTCCGTGATCAGGTTTTTGGAGAGAAGAGCCTAGGACATAAGTGCATGAAGTACAGCTGCAGAAAGAGACCTACCAGGACATCGTTGCAGATTTTCGTGAGCTCTTCCTCCACCTTCTTAAGGTAAATGTCCGTCTGATCAGCAAGTGGAGTGCCAGCTTGCTTCTTAGCAATGCTAGACATGATTCTCCAAGATGAACGGCGGGCCCCAACTACATTTTTGTATGCGACGGATAACAGGTTACGCTCCTCGTTGTTAAGCTCATTGCCCATCTCGGCAATGGTTTTCATAGCCACAGCCATATCTTCGTAACGCTCAGCCTGCTCTGCCAACTTAGCGATGGAAACAAGAGAGGCATGATCTTTGCATCCACTATCGGTAATCCAAGAAGTAATGGCTGCCATTTCTGAAAACCAACAACCCCAACGAAGAAAGTACGGTTACCGTGCTAAATAGGCGCTAGTGAGGTATTCACTGATTCAAACAAACAATGAGATTGCTTAAAATTTTGACGTTCAGGTTCAATGCACGTGCCAAAAGTTAAACTATGCCATAATAAAAGGTACCTCAAAAATTTATACATTATTCGCTTTTATTGTAGTTCATGTAAAATGTTATAAAACTTAATTGAAGTTACTACATTATGATAATTAATTTTTGGTTTCTTTTTGAAAAATAAAATCTTGCTCTTAATAAAATGCACTAACTGTAGCATTCTGAGAATTTTCATCATGTAGGAGAGAGTAGTAAGTGGAGTTGAAAACATGCACTCAAACGGGAACACGTAATCAGTTCTGAGCATGGTTTGAATTCCATTCCACACGTGCAAGGGCCAGATGAAGCTGAAAGCTACAGTCAAATACCATATAGTCACATCCGCAAGTTATTACATTGCTCTTCTTTGCTTTTGAGCGATGTCCTTTGACGCCTCCCATAGTACATCTCCCACATCGACGGTCACAACATATCCGATCTCACAAGAAAACGCTGCGACGCCTAGAATCTGTAAGTTGTCTCCTCGGCACCTTTATCTGGACCTGGAAATAAGTTTTGTCTGAGGACAGGGATCATGGTGAACAATTTTTTTGATCAATGGTATTCACGGCCACACTTTGAAACATTGATCTAAAACAGATGCTTATTTGGCACTGTAGTTACTGCCTGTCCACTCTCTGGTTCCAGGTTCTCAGACTTTAAAAGGAAGTTGGTTGCAGACGATATATTAGGCATCACGCACGTGATCCGCGTTCCCAATTGGTTCTTGCCTGTCACCTATAAAAGTCCACTTAAACAAGCTAGAATATATTACAGGGACTTTAATAGGATGGAGGCGGGAACTAATTTGGAACGCAAATCACGTGCGCGAGAACGGTGAGGAGTTTTTCTCCTGCTGATATCTCCTGTTCAGTCCATCTGCATCCCAATCCCCATTCTTCCTGTATAAAATGCCAAATAAATCATCTGCAACCATCCCTTTCTTGAAGTCCGAGGTTCAAGAACAGGGGGTAGGCAGGCATTTCCTACAACTACCGATACCTATATGCGGATGTAGTAGGATGAACTCCAAAATGTTCACGGCGTTGTTGCAGCGCCCCGAGGCTTCCTAGCACGTGCAAGAAGTCAGTAAGTGCAGCTGGAAACATGTATTCCGATGACAACAGGACAAATGGGCCTAAGCATGGCTCGAAGACGAGCCCACTTGTACAAGTGCCAGACGAATCCTAAGCTGACCGCGGAAGGTCAAGTAGTGGCGTCAAACCCAGAAACCATCCTCAACCATTCAACCATTTAAGCATCAGACGATTTCTCTCCCGATGTAGATGTGCAATCTTTGCATTGTGGATGCACGTCACAGACGGTAGTCACCAGAATAGGAATCGTTATAAAAGTCAAGTTAGCGTCCCACTGATGTCACTATTGTATTCTAAAGGGAGAAGAGGGAATGGGTTCTTGGCCTGGTCCAAAGACCAGTTAAAGTAGCAGTCAGACACCACTTGGTCGCATAAAGAAAGTATTACAGATGCCTATTTGAGACTTCCATTTAGGCATTCCACCGGCAATTATTTCATACATTTGTTATTCTCGACTATCCTTAACTAGCACGATTAGGCTTGCAATGTGTTGGGAGTTTATGTTTGGAAACAGAAGTCATTGAGCATGGCTAAATACCTATACTTAGACATAAATTGTGGATGCAGTACTTTGTTTACGTGATCGCTTAATGCCTGGCTTCGGTTTTGTTATCAGTTACGTCCTTGTACACGTGGGCTGGCCTTTGACCTAGGGCACGATCCAATTCCTTCTCACTTCCCCAGAATACATGCATGATAACCAAACTTAAAGCCTTCCACCTAGTGGGAAGTCCTGGGATGCTACAGTAAAAGTAACTTTACATCCTAACTCGAAGGCCAAACCGCGCTGCAATACTGAGACAACAGCCAAAGTGACTGCCACCCATGTAGGTGGTCAACTAATCCAAACATTGCATTCCTCCTTTCCTCATTGAGCACTGTCATCAGCATTTGTCTCGTGCCAAATTGCATCCACAAGGCAATCGAACCACACAACGAATACCATGCTGGACAAAGAGTTGCATTCGACCTAAAACCAAGAATTAGGGTCAAGCCATGAGGTTAAAACAGCATTCCAAAACCGAATTCTCAGCAAAGGCAACAGGACCAAGCAGAGCATCGTTGTGGATGAGAGCATAGGGCAATTCAGTCTCCAACACTTTACACAGATGTCGTTCTCAGTTCGTCTGTTGTGGACATGCAATGAAGTCTCCCCGCCCAATACATGCTCTTCTCCTCACAGTGCAGAATTTTGTCTCAAATGATGATAATCGCTAGCGAAATCATGACACAGTCGGGTTAACTTTCTTCTACCATCTCCTACCATTCCTCCAGACCTCACAGTGTATTGCATTGGATGCAGACAGGAAAAGGGCATGCGAGGCCATGGTCTAGCCCAAAAGTCAGCCAATGTGGCAAAACCAAAAAGGCCGCTCTAGAGATTGCCATC